TATAAGTAAAAAGTATTAAATACTTTTTAGCTTCTTGTATTTATTATATTTTTTAGCTATTCTTTTAAATATAAATAATAGGGGATTTTTAGTACTATAGAAAGTTACTAGTGTTATAATATTAACTACTGTAGATAAATATTAGAGTTATTAGGTTAACCCTAATAACTTATTACTAGTAAATCCTTAGATATTTAGCTATAGATTCTCTAAGGATTTATAGGTAATAAGTTAGTTATTTAACTAACTAACCTATAATAATTATCCTTCTTTTCTTTATGTATAATAGAGAACTATAGTTACCACTATTATTTATTAATTACTACTAATATATATAGTTAACTATATTAACCTATCCCTTAGTGTTACTAATAATAAATATATATATTATATTATACTAGAAAAAAAATATAAATATATATATTATATTTATATTATATTTATCTTATATTTCTTTAATACTTTACTTAATTTATACTCTATAGTACTTTATAGATAAAGCTAACTAGCTACCTTAATAGTACTAATTTTATTTATAAGTTAGGTACTTATAAATTTTTTTCTAAAGAGTCTATAGTTATAAAATAAAGGTTTCTTATATGCTTTTTTACTAGATTACTATACTAGTTAGTTAGTAAGCTTTTATAAAAAGTACTTATAATACCTTTACTTTTCTTAGAGTTTTTTAACTATAGTCTTTATAGTTTCCTAGAAGTATAATATTATTACTTATATAAAGTCTAAGGCTTCTTAGCTTTATATAATTATACTAACACTTTAACTACTTTATAACTATTTATTAATAAAGGTATTATTATTAACTATTAGTAAATCTAGTATATTTAGGCCTTATAATTATAACTTTTCTTATACTTCTGCTTTATTAGTTCTTTATATAAACCTTTTTAATAAAAGTAGTTAGTCTTTACTTTTAATTAAGTATATTAAGTACTTAACTATAGATAGTTATAGCTTATTTATACTAGCTATATACTAATAATAAGCTAGTAAGTAATTAGTATATTTACTATTATTCTAATATATTTTACTTATATAAGTTACTTAAGAGAAATAAAAGCTTAAGAATTAAAAGATAATAGCTATAGACACTTAACTAAGTAAGGCTTAATAGTAAGTATTAGTATATTAGAAGACTTAAGCTTATAAAGCCTAGGTAATAAAGGCTTTACTACTAGAAAACTAAATAGTAAAGTAGGTCTACTAGAGATGTTATAGGACAATATGCGGCTAACCTTTGGATCCACTTCTTGGCCTTGCCAGTGGATCCATTGGTCAGGCCAATATCCTGCCAACAGCTAGTGCCCCACTAGGCCCCACCTGTCGCTAGTCTATAAGACTAGCCATTACTAGCCATAGCTCTACCTTAGTTAGGCATTAGAATCTATCACCTATTTAACTATATTAAGTAGTAGTACAACTACTAGTTATAATACTATAGGTAATTAACCCTCTACTACTATTAAATTTATAATAAGAGGTAAATACACTAAATTACTATTAAGAGCTATTTAATTAGTTATCTTAAAGATAGCTAATTAGAAGTATTTACTTTACTAGCCTAGCTACTAATATATATCTACTAGTAGATTTCTTTACTACTACTAGCCTACACTAAACTAACCTATCTAGCTAGATTTACTATACCTCTAGCTACTACTACTATTACTAACCTTTACTTTAATAACCTTACTTTTTTTACTCTTCTTTATACTCTTTTACCTCTATTACTTCCTTTGTTTTCTTGTTAAGGTTACTACTACTAGAGCTACTATTAATTAAAGCCTTTAAATAGTAATATTACTAACTAGAGCCTTACTATAAGTATAGTACTAGATTTCCCTTAAGATCTACGCTTTTTTATAATATATATACTATTAACTACACCTATTACTACTAACTTTATTATTAAGACTTTATATCTTAGAATCCCCTTTTCTACTATTTACTAGACTACTAGCCCTTATTACCTTTACTTTTAAAGACCTTATTACCTTTATTAACTTTACTATTACTACTATTAATAATAATAGTCTTATTATTACCCTTAATACTATTACTACTAGCTATACTTATAAGTAAGTAATCTATATTACTAGTAGTACTAACCCTCTTTACTACTATAAGATTTAATACTACTATTAATGCCCTTTACTAAAGAATAATACTAATATAAAACTATAAGGATATATTTTACTACTAATATAAATAGGTAATAAATATATAAAACCTTTAGCTAGTAGTAAAATACTTTAAGCTACTACTACTAATACTACTACTAATATACACCTAACTAGTATACACCTAGTAGGCCTAATAACCTCCTAAGTTATATACCTAGCTACGCCTTTAGAAGCTATATTAAATACACCCTAGATTTAGAGAAGGTTACTTACCTAGAGGTAAACTTATCTATTAGCGCCTTTAAGAATAAAAGGAGGAAATCTAGTCCCTTTAACACTAAGTCTACTAGCTATTACTACTACTACTACCTTATAAAGCTGCCTAGTACTATAGTTAAGATACCCTAGATAAATATAATAAGGATAAAGACAATAATACTACTAGTTATACTATAAAAACAGGTCCCTAAGATAATAATAATAGATCTATTTATATAAGGGATTATTACTATAACTTTAATAAATCTAATAGCTAGCTAGTAGCTAATAGCTAGCCTACTTCTAGTTAACTTATCTATAGTTAGCTAGTATCTAGCTAATTATCTTATAGCTAGCTAGTATATAACTATTAATACTACTAGCCTATGTATATAACTAACTAACCTATATATTAATAACCTATATATACGCCTAGCTAGCTAACTTATAGTTAACTAGCCTAAGGTCTATATTTATACCTATATACACCTAGCTAGCTAACTTATAGCTAGTTAATATATAGTTAGCCTATATATATACTTAACTAACTAGTGTACTAAGCTAACTACTATTAACCTAACTACCTAGCTAATAATAATAACTAGGATTATAGTAGTAATAATAATAGTAACACTATTAAAGATAACACTAATAGATATAAGGACTTTAATAACTATAGGGATAAAAATAGTAATAATAGATATAGTAATAGTTATAGTAATAATAATAACTATAATAAGGACTATTAACCCTTAAGTATACCTTTTCTATAATAGCTACAATAGCCTTATAGAAGCCTAAGGCATATAGTTAATAACCTTATTAACTAGTAATTAAATAATTGCTATATAATAATTATTTCTATTATTAGGGGGGCACTTGTCATAGGACAATATGCGGCCGACCTTCGGATCCACTTCTCGGCCTTGCCGGTGGATCTATTGGTTGGGCTGATATCCTGCCGACAGCTGGTGCCCCACTGGGCCCCACCTGTCGCCAGTCTATAAGACCAGCCGTTGCCAGCCGTAGCTCTAGCTTAGTTAGGCATCGGAATCCATCACCTATTTAACCGTGTCAAGAGACTTATTAATTAATTACTAAGACCTATAGCTATTACTATAAATTCTATTATATAATAATAAGTCTTATTAATTACTAGTTATTAGTAATAATTAACTATTAGTTAATATTAGTTTTTACTAGGTAGTTAATAAGATATTGTTAGTTCTTATAATATTATAAGGTGTAGAAAAAGTAGTTAATTAGTTAGTATTATAATAGTTATTATATAAGGTAAAGGCCTAAGTGTTAGTAGTATCTTTGTGTATAGGCAAAGGTAAAGAATACTACTAGTAGGCAGTGTATTATATAACCTACCTTCTCTAGCTATATTACCTATATACTAACACTTTAATACTAAGGTACATAGGGTTATTTACTTAATATTTATTATTAAATAAGTTAAAAGGGTATAAAAGTAAAGAAGTAAGACTACTATTACTACTTATATTATCTAGTATATTATTTATTACCTCTAAATATAGAGTAAATATAGGCTTAGAATATTATTAGCTTTAGTTAAGTATATACTAAGTAGTAGCTTTATATATATTTCTTATTTTTAACTTTTATACTTTTTCTCTACTCTCTTAATTAAAAACTCTTCTAGAATTTTATCTTATAGTCTTTTTAACTACCTCTTTTTAATTAAGTATATATAAGTATAGTATATATATACTATATATACTAAGGATAAAACTTACCTATACTATCTATATAATATATTATATAACTTATTTATACTATTTATATAACTTATTACTTTATAGGGGATCAGTTAGCAGAGGGGTATTAATCTCTAGACTATCTATTATAACACTGTACTCTATAGATTTATAGAATACATAAGGTATATATAAGCCTAAGGGCCCCCCCCTCCGGAACTTGGAATCCACCCCTCCCCCTCCCCGGAACTAGATCCCCGCTAACTTGTCCCTCGTCTTTTTCCGACTTTTTACTTTATCGTGAACTTCACTTTACCTTAACTCACCTACTCATCCTAACAAAGCAAGGGCAGGCAAACTAAATCACATCTTACTACTAAACCCGCCTTGTTGACCTGTTTACCTTAATATTATTAACGCATACACATACTATATCCTATACCTTTTATAACTACGTAATACTCAAAGCCGATATCAAGGCAAAGACAGAGGCCGATATAGTGCTAAACCTCTGCGTAGACGTTGCCGCCGCCCTCACCACCACCAGCCGCAGCTATCTGCTGCCGCCTTTATTTTAAACCACCTTTTTTCTCAAACCAGCCTGTTTCTTCAAGCTCCTCCGATGCCTTCAGAACGATCCACGCCTTTCCCTCGATCGCCTCCACTTCAAGTACGACTCACAGCGGGGCCGGGTCAACTTCAAGATGCCCCAAGGCCGTCTTCACTCGGCCGTTTCTCAGCACCGCATTCTCGTTGACGACGCGGCCCGGGACAGCTTTTGTCTGTGACCAGAGTCCGCAGCTAAAGCAGCAGACCAACAGAATACTACTTGTTGCAGTAGGCAAGGAAAGTATTCTGTGTTTAGAAAAACTTTTGCTTATCCACTGTGCTCTTTACTAGTGCTAGTTATGACTCCAAACATGTGCAGTAAAGAAGGTGGCGCGTTCCACGCCATGCCTCGATGCGCAGGCGGGGAAGTTTTCCACCTAGCCTCAGTCTTCTTATCTGGCTTGTTTTTGTGCTGTACCCACATAGTGTAAGCGCCGCCTAAGCCAGGAAATGTTGCTACCGCCTTAAACATATGCTCGTCGGATGTATCGTCTCCCACGTTAAGGACAAAGTCCACCTTGCCCTGTTGGCCACCATTTAATATATGCAGCCGGCCTTGGTAGGAACGTTGTAAGATGTCAGTTACAATTTGGCCCTTATCAAGGAAGCGAGATTTAACCTCAACAACCTTGTCGCCCTGTACGACGACCATATCCCAGTGATATTTTTTTATTGCCGCCTGTAACTCGTCTCCCAGCCCTTCTGCGAGCCGGGAATCTGCTGACAAACGGGCCTTACGGTAGTGCCATGAAAGTGAGTACTGTTTCTCCTCAACGCGGGTATTAGGCGTCCGCTTCGTCCATTTTTCCATTATCTCCCGGGCGCCTTGTTTCCAAACAGACACTTGTAACCTATGGTTAGTTGCAGCAATGGAATTGGATGATGAATCAAGACATACTGTCATACTGTTCGCCTAGTGACACCCACTCCTGGCGGGGATTTTTCACAAAAGCGCCGTGCTCGGCACTAAGACCAAGGCCCTCAATGCTTCCAAAGTGCCGGCTGAGGAACGTCCGGTCACGCCCCGAGATAAGCCATACTGTGTTACGCCGCGACGCGGCCAGCGTACGTAAATCCTCAAGCAGTTCTTGGGGGGGGACAGCACGCTCAGGATCATCATCAAATGGGACCAGCGTACCGTCATAGTCGCACATGATGACGCGACGCTGGGCTGTTTTGTACGCTTGTTCAATACCATTCTTGTTCGTAAACTCTTGCCGGAAATACACTGCACGGTGAGATATCGGGTTATTTGGCAATGCCGTGCCGAAAGCGAGCAAGGCCGTAAAAAGAACCTGCAGCACTAGCATGATGTAAAGAGTTCAAAAGCAAGAGGTGTAAAGGATTTAAAAAGAATCGAATGGCTAGTACTTTTTGCCCCTACTCTTCTACCAGCAAACAGAAAGGTATTTGTACTAAGACTAAATTTCTATAAGAAAACAATTCACTATAATTGTAGATTCGTCATAGAATTTAGAATTACGTTTAATGTAATAGAACTTTAAAAAATTAGTATTTATGATTAGTGTATACAGGTAGTATAGGTAAAAATAGTCACAAGGGACTAGTAGGGTAATTCGGACATACCGATAAAGTAGTTATTTATCTTAGGGGTAGCGGTAGAATGCCAGTGTGATTTGGTCAGCGGCCTGTGAGTTAAACCTATTTTAGAATACATTATGTCAGCGCTAGCAAAAACAGTATTCTAGCTGAACTAACCAATGAGAAGGTCAGGATTTAGAAAGTTATATAAAGTTAAAAACTCTTTAGATTTAAGTAATTCAAAGTCAAGGCAAAATAGAGGCAACAGCTATAATTAATTTAAAGATTTATTATATTATGTAACCTATTTAATTAAAGGGTAAAACCTTTATTATGATAGTAAAGTTGTATATATTGCTGTTGCTCTTTGAAGGTTGGATATGAGGGCTTAATCTTGGGCATTGTGGGCGTCTGTTGGCGATAGTAGATTTACAGCAAAAAGGGCGTTTTTTGCATAGGTTATAGACGTAGGCAGTGGCAATGGTGGCAGTGCCTTCCTAAATAGGCTTAACTTACCGGCCGCTGACCAAATTGCACTAGCATTCTACTGCTGCCCTAAATTACTAGTGCACTTTTAATATTTTGCCAGTAGGTTAAACCTAGTTAGGAAGCAGATAATGCTAGCACATTTAACTTATCTAACTAATAAGAGGGCTAGGAACTAAAAAGTTCCACGTTAGATTAACCTAGCGTTAGATTAACCTAGCGCCAGATTAACCTAGCGCTAGCCTAAATTAATCCTGCCTATGCTACCTATACTACCTGGGCAGTAGCTGCGGCAGTAGTAGCAGCACTAACTGCTAGTAAAGTTATTGCTGCTGTTGCATTATAGGTGTCTGTTGGCAATAGTGGATTTACGGCAAAAAGGGCGTTTTTTGCATAGGTTATAGACCTCAGCAGTAGCAGTGGTGGCAGTAGTAGCAGTACCTACATAACTAGGTTTAACCCACTAGCAAAATACAAAAAGTGCACTTATAATTTACCTATAACTATATATATAGAGTAGTTATAGTAGACTAGTAGATAAAGGGTACAGGTAGAATACTAGAGTAATTTATTTAGTAGCTAGTAAGTTAAGCCTATTTTAGAATACATTATGTTAGCGCTAGCAAGAATAATACTCTAACTTAACTAACTAATCAGAAGGCTAGGATTTAGAAAGTTATATAAAGTTTAAAACTCTTTAGATTTAAGTAATTTAAAGTTAAGGTAAAATAAAGGTAATAACAGTAGCACTAATAGCCTTAGTAACACTAATTACTAGCTAAGTTACTACTAGTAATAAAAAAGAGGAGCCTTATAGGCCTACTGTTATTACTTAGTCTTAAGCCGCTGTTGCTCTTAGGCATTATGGGCGTCTATTAGCAATAGTGAATTTACAGCAAAAAGGGCGTTTTTTACATAGGTTATAGACGTGGGCAGTGGTGGCTTTAGCTGTGGCGGTAGCGGTGGTGGCAGTGCCTTCCGAAATAGGCTTAACTCACTGGCCGCCGACCAAATTGCACTGGTATTCTACCTGTACCTAGCAATTTACCTGTAACCATATATGATGTACACGTATAGTGAGCTGCCCATTATAGTGAGCCGCCTACCTTAAGAAAAGCGGGGTGTTTCTGGCTGGGCTGCACGCGAAAACACTGTTACATAATTGGTAAGGGGTCTTAATAATTTCCTAACAGTGGTTTTGCGTGCAGCCCAGCCAGAACAACCCTACTTCTCTTAAGGTAGGCAACTTGCTATAATAGGCAGTTCACTATACGTGTACATTATTATATATATTATCTAATATCATTAATTATACTACTAGCCTAATGGTTTTAGATTAGATTTATTAAAACAAAACTATATTATATTAGCCTAATAATGTTTAGATAAGGTAGAGCTATAGTAATCTAAACTAAGAGTATAATAGATAATTCTAAGTTTTAAACTGTTTTTACTCTCTAGGGTTAAGAGGCTCTTTATTTATTATGATTCTAATACCTAGCTATGATATCTCTCTATAGTGCTAACTCCTCTGCCTACATTTCTCCTAAACATTACGACCTATTTCACCTCCATAGTCCTACCTAACTACAGTCCCATATGTTATTACTTACTACTGATCTAACGTCTCTACGTCTACATTATCTAATATGTATTTCACAAGCCTTCTTCTACTCTTACAATCTCTTTTGCTTGTAGCGGCAGCCCCAGTCAACAATCCTTCTGGCGCGAAGCGTATTAGGACTTCAGACTTCTTTGTGGCTACTACCCACACTTCTCCACTTGCCCTTAACATTACACATGGGAACAAGGGGAATGAGATTCCGATAGTGAAACTCGAATATCTCTCAACCTTCACGAAGAAACCCTTCCTCTACATACAAGCTTCAATTGACAAGGACGACGCAAAGGCTCTAGAAAAGCAGTCGCTGCCATCTCTGCTCAAGGCTGTAACTGCTGATGAAGCTAAGGTTCCACTCGCCAAAATGCCTTACGTTATCTTCCGCGATTACGAGCTGTGGAAAATGGTCTTGACATACTCAAAAGACAAGTTTAGAGGCAGGCCCAGGGCATTTTCAGTTACTCCCAAGGATGCAGAATGGTGGGGAAAATATAAGGAGACAAGGGGCTTCCGGACTGTGTCTGATACGTTTCGGCCCAGGACGATTAAAGAAATCAGGATCAAGGCGAAAAAGAGAGATGGCCATCACGGGTATGAAACGAGATTTGTCCTTAGTAAATAAGCGTGCTATAAATAGACGTCCTAGCTAGTGCTTTCTTTAAGTAACTAACCTAACTTTAACCTTAAAATTAGTTAGTTAACTTACGGCTATTTCTAGCGTTAACTAGTTCGTTATTTACTATTTTTCTATAATAGTTAACTAGGTTAGTTATTTTAGCTTAATGGCTTCCCCCCTAGATAATATTCTTATACTATATAAAGGTACCTTCTATTCCTCTTATAGTGTTTCCTTTTCTTCCCTAGACCCTACAGGTTATAGAGCTATAAGGTGTATTAAAAATTCCTATCTGTTTAGAACCTAACTTTACACTTTTCCTGTATACCCTTAAATAAAACAACAACGTTATAATTACTACTTTAGTAGTAGTAGTAGTAGGTAGCCTACACCCACGGCCTTGGCAGGGTCAGGTTAAGGCTACAAGAGAGGTAGTAAAGGAGGGAAAGGAGGGAGGAAGGGAGATAGTAAAGAATGGAAGAGAGGAAGGAAGAGAGAGAGAGAGGAAGGGCATAGGGAGAAGAGGGGTTCAGTAGAGTAGGTAAGGTAGAGTAGGTAAAGTAATGTTGTAACCTAATAGACTATAGGCAGCTAGAGCCTTACTAAGCCCTAGAAGCATAGGTAACATAATGTCTTATAGACTAATAGAAAGATAGCTCTCTATAGAACAGAAGAACTATAGTATAAGTTACAAAAAGATAATATAGATTAATTTAAATATACTTCTTAGTAGAGTGTATATTATCCTAGGAAAAATATATATAATGTTTGAGATATTATATATAATCTAGTAAATAGTACACTAAGAAAAAAAGGACTTATATATAAAATAGACTTAGATATACTTAAGAATCATAATAAGATATATATCTTTAGGATATATATTTATTTATATATCTCTAGGGTTACCTATTATTATTTTTATTTATTTATAATATACTATACTTGTTCTATAATATTAAGGTAAATTCTTAACTAAATAAGGAAGTATTTAATACTACTATTAGTAACACCAAGGAATAGGTTAATATAGTTAACTATATATATTAGTAGCAATTAATAAATAATTAAGGTAACTATAAGTAATTACTAAATAATTAAGGTAACTATAAGTAATTAATAAATAATTAAGGTAACTATAGTTCTCTATTATATATAAAGAAAAAAAGGATAATTATTATAGGTTAGCTAGTTAAATAACTAACTTATTACCTATAAATCCTTAGAGAATTTATAGCTAATTATCTAAGGATTTACTAGTAATAAGTTATTAGGGTTATTCTAATACCTCTAATATTTATCTATAATAGTTAATATTACAAAAACTACTCTATAGGTTATTAGTATTTCTTCTTACTATAGTAGTTTTAATCTAAGTATTAGTAGTACTAAGTACTTTTTTTTTCTTTTAGTCTTATACGCTATAGTGTTTAGAATATATATTTAGTAAATAATCTTAGTGTTTAAGTTACTTAATATTAAGAGAAAGCTTTAGTTATTTTTTATTTTACTTAAGACTTCTATTACTAATAAACTTATTAATTCTAAAGACTTTATATATATTAAGTACTTTATTTAAATAGACTTCTTTTTTTCTTATAGTAGTAGGCTTCTTAAGGTTTATAAACTCCTAGATATACTTAATTTAAGCTTCTAGTTAAAAAGTAAAGTACTATAAAGGCTAATAATTATATAACTTTAGCTTTCTTATAGTATTAATTATTATAGATAATTTAATAAATATTATAAAAAATAATATTTAAGATAGTTTATTTAAGAAAAACTATTTTTAGTTTATATATATAGAAATAGTAAGATTAAAAGTATAATATAAGCTAGCTATTATAATATTAACTATTGTAGATAAATATTAGAGTTATTAGGTTAACCCTAATAGCTTATTGCTAGTAAATCCTTAGATATTTAGCTATAGATTCTCTAAGGATTTATAGGTAATAAGTTAGTTATTTAACTAATTAACCTATAATAATTATCCTTCTTTTCTTTATATATAATAAAGAACTATAGTTACCCCTATTATTTATTAATTACTACTAATATATATAGTTAACTATATTAACTTATCTTTTAGTGTTACTAACACTAATTAGTAGTTAACTTTACTATTAACTATATAGGTTAACTTTACTATCTAAACTATAGATTAGTAAGGTCTATAAGAAGAGGTAATTATTACTAGTTAATTATTTATATACCTAGAGTAAGTAAGTACTAAAAAACGCCTCTATAAATATCTTTACTATAATAGTTTATACTAATTACCTATTATAATAGGTTAATTAATAGATCTATAACTAGTCCTCTTAACTAGTAAAAACCTTATTAATTTATATTTATTATATAAGCTTTATTACCTTTAGAAAAGTACTCTTAACTATAAAAAACCTTTTACTTTATATAGTTATAGCTAACTAGTAATTATTTACTATCTTCTATTTATTATAAGCTCTTTAGCTTACTAACTTCTTTTTTCTATATATATACTTCTTTTACTAACTAATAGTATTAATAAGTTACTAATATAATAGCCTATTATTTCCCCTCCTTTTACTAACTAATAGTATTAATAAGTAGCTAATATAATAGCCTATTATTTTTCCCCTAAGTTATTTATCTATAAGAGTATATTTTTCCCTAGCTATTTATACTACTAGTAATAATCCTTTTAATAAATATATATACCTTCTAGTCTACTAGAAGAAATACCTATATTTAAGAGGTTATTAGGCTAACAGAGGGTAACAGTAAATAATACTATGCCTATAAGCAGAAGACCTAAGCTAAGATAAGTAAATATAATAAGCTTATAAGTAAGTAAGGCTTATAGGTTACTATACTTTTACTTATAAGGTAATAAGAAGAAGTTTATAGTAAGTATAATATACTACCTAATATAAGGTAGTAAGTAGTAGTAATTAATAATATATTTATTATACTTATTAACCTTATATAGTATATTTTCCTATAGTAATAAGAAAAAGACTATATTAAGAAGTTACTAACTAACCTTATAAGTAAGTAATAACCTTTTATACTTAATACTATTACTATATTTTATATTAGTAGTTATAAGTACTATAACTATATTAGTAGTAAATTACTTTACTATACCTATAAGGATTTTAGTAAATAGTCTATAAATAACTTTAAAGTAATTAACTAGAAAGTCTTAATAAGCCTATATAACTTCTTTATTAATTATAGTATATAAGTTAACTATAGTAAACACCTATTAATTACCTAATATATATTTAATACTTTTTAATAAGAGAAAGGCGCCTACTAGACTAATAAGATAATTACTATTATTAAAAGATTATTATATAACTTTAAACTATACCTTAAAGACCTTAACTTTATTAAGAATATTAGAGGTTATAATATAATCCTATATAGTAAAAAACTAGCTAAAGTGCATCTATTACTAGTAATTACCTATTAGACCTTTTATAATAACCTAACCTTTACTTTACTACTACCTTTATTAACACTAAAACCCTAAGTAATAGCTAAAATCTATAGCCTATATATAATAACTACTATACTACTATAAAAGCTTTTATTAACTATAGTAATATTAATAGTAATATTAAGGCTAATACTAAAGTAAATAAGTAACCTTATAAAGATATACTTTAATAACTAGGCTATAAAATACACTAGTAGCTAGTATAAGACTATTAACTTAAAATTACTATTATTTTATAACCTTTATATCTAGGTAAATATAATATAAAACTACTATAAAGTAGTAATTTAAGTAATACTTTAAGGTAAACTATAAGAGTATTATACTTTTACTTTTTACTAATAGGTAGGTAATTTTAATACTTTAATAGTAAAGCTTAAAAAATAATTTAAAGGTAATAAGGTACACTTAGCCTATATTACTAAGCTTTACTATATATTATTTAACTTAATTACTTATAAAAACTAAAGTAAGAATAAGCTTAAGATCCTTAAGTTACTTATTAAAAAGGTTACTAAACTAGTTAAAGTAACTACCTATAATAGCCTACCTAAGGATAAGGATTATTATAAATACCTTATTACCTATTACTATAGTATACCTAAGTATACTATAGCTCTTTTTAACTTACTAACTATATTTTATAGCCTCTATATATAACTATATAATAAAGTAGTAAATACTTTACTTTACTATAAGCTACTTATATAATACCTTATAAATAAATTTACTATATAAAATAAGTAATTTTAGGTTAACTATAAGTATAATAATAGCTATAATAATTATACTAATTTATAGTAAATATAAGGTTCTTTATAAAGTAACTATTATAGTAAAAACTAGTATAGTAATAAATTAACTAAGAAGTGCTTTATCTATAGTAAGCCTAGTTATTAGTTAACTAAGTATACTAAAGAAGAGTAGTAATCCTTATTTAACTAATATAAAAGCACCTACTTTATATAAGCTTTACTAGCTACCTTTAACTACTTTCTTTTTAACTATAAAGGTTATAATATAAGTTATCTTTAAGAAGTAAGTAATAGTAATAAATAACCTATTTATTAAAATATTAATACTAATAATTATACAACACCCAGTTAGTTAACTATAAATAGTTTATAATTTAAGGTCAAAGGGCATAGACTAGTTATTTAGCCCTTAGTTATATCAAGAGGGGATTATACCTTTTAGTTAGCTAGAATAACTTAAGTTATACTTAAGCAGTATATAACTACTTTATACAACAATAGTAGAGTAGACCTATTTAGTTACCTAATAAGAAGTTAATTTACCCCTACGTTTTACTAAGTACATATATATAAAGCCTATTTAACACTAATTAGTAGTTATATAGTAATATAGATTAGCAAAAGTAAAAAGGCAAGTTATAAACCTAAAAGGGATTACCTTATACTAAAGCCTAGATCCTTACTGTTATCTACCCTATAAAAGTAGTACTAGACAGTAAGAGAAAAAGACTACCTATTAGTTAATATACAAGAAAGTCTCTCTATGTCTACTGCCTAAAGGTAAACTAGGCAGAAGATCCTATTATATAATACTCTAAGAAAGTAGTATACACTATAGTATATTTAATATTAACTAGACACTATACAAGACAACATAGCTACTACTACTAAGATAGCATCTTTAT